AGTCATACTTTCCTGGCTTTCGGCACGTCCCCGTAAATGGAAGACTTTTGTTGCAAACCGGACGTCTCAAATAATTGAAGTACTTCCAACAAAATACTGGAGGCATGTCCCTTCCAAAGAGAACCCAGCAGGTATCGCTTCGCGTGGTATTGATCCCAAATGCCTTTCCTAATTGCAACTTGTGGTGGAATGGCCCAAAGTTGGCTTTTTTTGGATTCGTCTCACTGGCCGAAAGAGGAATCCGCTTCCAAAGAAATCAAGGATCTAAAGCTGAACAAAGATCTGATCCTATATTTTCATTTCATAGTGCTACACCAAATGAATTATATAGTGATTTATATAAAAAATATTCATCATTTTCTAAGATTATATGCATTTTAGCATATTGTTTAAGATTCATCAATAAGTGCAAAACCAGTAACAAATGTCAAACACTTATAACTGATTCCTTTTCTCCACTCACTTACACGGAAACTAAAAATGCAGAAATAATCATAATTAAGTGGGTTCAGGAAGATTATTTTAATGAAGACCTAAAATGCATTAAAAATCAAAGATCGTTGCCTAAGAAAAGTCAGCTACATTCCCTCCATCCGTTTATAGATGAAAACAGTCTTTTACGGATGGGAGGGCATTTACAAAATTCAGAATTGTCTTTTAATCAAAAGCACCCAGTGATTCTACCTGCTAAACACAAGATAAGTGAGCTCATCGTAAAAGAAAAGCATGTGACTTATTTACATGCTGGTGCTTCATTACTCTCCCACATTATCAAACAATCATATTGGATAATAGGTGGAAAAAAGCTCATTAATAAATGTGTTCACAAATGCATCAAATGCTTCAAATTTAAAGCATCTATCGCATCCCAGCTTATGGGTAATCTACCTAAGCATCGAGTAACACTCGAGAGGCCTTTTTTCAACTGCGGAGTGGACTATGCCGGCCCTATTTCAATCAAATTCAACAAGGGTCGTGGAGCAAAATCAACCAAGGGGTTGGTTATATTGCTCTATTTATTTGTCTCGCTACTAAGGCACTACACATCGAGGCAGTGAGCGATTTAACTGCTGATGCATTTTTAGCTGCTTTGCGTCGCTTCAGTACTAGACGAGGAGCTCCAAGTCACATTTACAGCGACAATGCAACAAACTTCGTTGGGGCTAATCGAAAGCTCAGCGAAATATAACGATTGCGGGCTTCACTTCCTAAGAACAAAGCCGTTGCTCATCATTTAACTCAAGCATCAATAGAATGGCAATTTACACCTCCAGCATCTCCTCATTTCGGAGGAATTTGGGAGGCCGCTATTAAATGAACCAAATATCACTGTAAAACAGTAATCGATGAAAACTACAAATTTCGAAGAATTGACAACTGTATTGGCTCAGATAGAAGCCATTTTAAATTCTCGTCCGTTATGTAGTTATGTAGTGTAAGCAATACTGACATTGATTGCATTATTATTCTCACTCCTTCACATTTTCTTACAGGAGACGTGTTCCTATCCCCTCCTAAACTACCACTTACTAGTCCTACCAATATACGGAATAGGTGGGATCTCCTTCAAACGATGCGGAAGGACTTCTGCAAATCATGGACCAAAGCATATCTATCTCTAATCTTCAAACCAGAAAGAAATGAAAGGACACTCAGCCAGCCGAATATGAAAATTGGAGACATCGTCTTGTTACATTAGATGATGGTCATCTTCCAGGTTCTTGGCCACTAGGACAAGTGGTCGAACTTCATCATGGTACTGACGGACTGGACTTCGTGTGGCCACGGTTAAAACTAAAAGACTCTATTTTTAAAAGAAACATTCATAAATTAGCTCCTTTGCCCATATATCAGAACTTAATGCCTGATCGGGTGGGAGATGTCACTCCAGTGTACCGGAACAGAACAACTCAACCTGACTCTTTCGCTTCTGGAACTATGCCAAAAGAACATTGAATTCAGTTGAACAGTCAGAACTCAGACGAACGCATACGCAAGGTAGCTGGAATGCTGTCTATTCTTCACTATATTTTTGTTGTGTTCTCGTGTTTATGCGTTTTATATGTCATTTTCTTATTTATACTTGTATTGTGCAATTATTTAATATAAGTTTGTGTTTAAAACGAGGACGGGTATCTAGTTCCTTCACATTACATCGCAACACCCCCCCTTTTTGCAGTTATCCTTTCATCTTTTTAATACAAATTTCATGTCTCTCAGTTGATTTTTTTTTGCAAAATTACAGTCAAAATCAGAACAGTTGCTTAAATTTTGCACATCAAAGTAGACACAGATAAATTGATTATACGTTGCATAAAGAGTAAGTTTACTCCACAAATATTTTTTCTCTTTAGCAAGACATTCTGCCTTGTTTTATGCTTTTATATTTAATAATTATTTTTAAAATTCTTCAGTATTATATGTTCTTAAATATAAAGCAGTACGACAAATAGTGAAATAACTTATTCAATTTTGGTCAGTGTTTTGCCTTTTATTTAATAGAAATAAAATTACAGTGGCATACATTTAACGTGAAAACTCTTATGACGAAATATCGGTTAACATGAAATAATACAACGGTCCCGACAAACTACTACATATTTTCATGCATTTTGTTTCTCTTATCACAAAAAGTTATCCTTTCTGGAAATGGACAAAACATGGGAAACAATGGCTTTACAGGCAAGATTTAAGAGGTGCGTGAAATGAAAGAGAGGTGGTTTCATATGTTTTGTAGAAAGGAGTCAACCTTGGCTTTTTAAATACCCTCGGAATAGCCTGTGACACGAGCCAGTTTTGTTTATCTAAGCTACTTTCACCTTCCACCTCTACAAATGCCACACAAACATCTCATTTCTCATCAGTTGGCTTTGGAATTCAATGATGAGTACATATCGTAATGCAAATAAAAATCTGCAAATTTGGTTCATATGTTGCACTCTGCATGTAATTCAGCGAGTCCAAAATGAAAATTGTTTTCAAAATGATTATCAAAGGTATCAAATTCTTTGGCACCAAAAGAAATGGAGAAGGAGGATATTGAAATTGAGTCGACACTTAATGAAATGTTTGAGAACGTTTCTGTATTATTGGACTGCTGTGTTATCGGAAGAATTTGTTGCAGTAGCTGGTGATAACGTGTGTTGCCCCAAATATGGCAGATAAAGACATTTTGGAGTTTGTTCAAAGCTAAAAAAAGATCATTAATGCAGATTCCAATGACGAAAATGAAATGAATAATGCAGCTCCTGTTCCCACGTCATATTCCAAGGTTGAAATGAATAACAAAATGGACGACATTGAACAATTTGATGCTAAAAAAGACAATGCAAAGAAATATATCAGATTTAAGATCAGAAATGTTAGATAAGAAATGATCAGATGCATTTCCTCACTTATTCACCCCTAGCTTTTTAGCGCCAGGTTCTGAAAATTCGAAAATATTAAGTTTCCCCCCTTTCTCAATGCATTCAGAAAACAAGCACTCTTAAATTTTAAAATGGATTTGTCCACCATGTGATGCCTTACTAACACAGAGAAATCCTTACAAACTATCTACTAAGGTTAAATCAAACCTTTTGTTTCTAACTGGTTGAACTTTATAATAACTATGGCAAACCTTTTTGATTGCTCACATATTGTACACATTTTAAATTAAAATTTCCTTCTTTTATTGAAAGTCTACCAGTTAATGTTCCGTTTTCAGGAAATTTTTTTTATTCAACATCTTTTTACCTAACAAAAACTTAAGCATCAGCACAATGCGATCATCTGAAGGGAAAACTAGTAAAACTAACTGGATTAAGACTTTTTTAACTTTTTTTCTTTATATGCCTAAAAAAGAAAAATTTGTATTTCATGTTCTACAGATGAGCCATTTTCAGATTTAAACTGGAAAATTTATCTAAAAATGTTTACAATTTCCACATGTGATCATATGAAGAACTCATTACATAGTTGACTATTCCATAGAATTTCACAGAAATTTATTCAGCAGATAAAGTGATGTTTTAAAGCTTTAGGATAGAAACCTATTACTGTTTTTTTGGAAAATAATAATAAAACAGACTTATAAAAATGTCATTTTGGTGAAGATTTTTAATGTCTTCCAATCAGTATTTTCTCATCATTTAAACTGTCATACATAATTTAGAAAAATGTGCTTCATTAAAAATTTCTATAATGAAGACCATTTCATTAGACAGTACAATGCTAGATAGCTTTTTTTTTTAATCTTTCTATAAATAATTTAAATGACTGTCAAATTATGTATCCTGTTTATTTCAAAAGAACAGTTTTGCATACAAAATGGAAATAAACTCATACATCTAGATGCAATAATTTTATCATGCCTTATAAAGTGCAAGCATGCTTTCTTTTGCTAGTCACATAACAAACTGCATTTTAACCATTCACACATATAAATCTTAATTAATAAAATTACGAAAATTTTTGCCATGCCGTAAATAGTGCATTAGTTACTTTACAACATAAATTCAAAAGAAGGTCAAAACATGTTTCTTTATGATCGAAAACATGCATGACTAGCACATATTTAAAATATTAAAGTATGTTGCAAGGAGATTGACTAACAGAAATTTACAATATACAAAGGAAAATATAACAACGAAATCTTTATTTGATATAAAATAATCTCACATTACCAAAAGAAAAATTTAAACAAAAACATACCATTAAAAATGGCAAAATGAATACCTTTTCTCAATTAGTTACATTTTTGGGGGGCAATTTTCAAATTCAAGTTATTAAAGAGCAAATTTTTTGTATTAAAAACTATACAAAATAATACATGTTGATTAAACTATGTGATTTGTATCTCTCAACAACAGTTGTGTGATAATAATATTAAATGAACCCAATTGCGCATTTATGAAAGTGTATTTTTTGTAAAAAGTCTTTGGCTGAATTAAGCATCGTAAATTAATGCTAATATATAGATGAAACAGCTTTCTATGTAGTTTTTTTAGCTTTATGCTTACCGACAGCACTAGAAGTAACTGGTGGTGGTGAATTGCTGTGACCAGACATACGTTGAGTCTCTACAAATCTTGCCTGTTGCTCTTTAACTATGTTATCTACAAAAAATTATTAAATGTTTTGGATTAAAATCCAACTGTGACATTTAACAAAGATTGAAATATTAAGAAACATAAATTGCATAAGTAGAAGGGACATCTCAAAAATAAGATTAAAACATTTATTACCCTAAATGTAATATTTAAGATATCTGGCATAGCTGATGCAGCTTCGAAATCATTTTTTCTTCATAGCACAGCGAGTTGAAAAATCCAAACTTTGCACATAACAGAGCTAGTCGACACATGGAACTGACTCCTTTAGCACAGATAAACCAGAGTTTATGGTCCTTTAAGGACCACCTTGATCATCAAATAAGAAGGATGTCAAAACATCTGTGTTTAATATCGAACAGATTACACATTTTAGATGAGCTTAACCTACTTGAACAAATGCCTCAATTATCATAATTATAACAAAACATTTAAAGACTAATCTAGCACACAGTGCATTGCCTATTAAATTTTACACTGAAACTAATTATCTTATCAACTTACTTTTCGCAATGCTCTGCATATGCACATATTCGAACTTCAAGTGCAAGAAAAGATAGTAAAAGAACAGTATATACTGTGCTGTGAAGTATTTGATTAGTGTTAACTCACCTGCTACATAATTAAAAAATAAATTGCTAAAAATGCATTTTCTATAATTTCTTTCTTCAAAAGAATTACAACTAAACTTTCAGTTTCTTATATTAATGTGTTTAAAAGTTACCAGTTTCATTTTAAATTTTGAAAGACAAGTTTTTTTATGTTCTGCACTAGCCTAATTTTTTAGCATGGTATTCAGTTAGCTAGAAGCTTTTGTTTAAATTTTGTAATAAAATTGTTACTTTTGCAGAAAACATATTTTGAGAAAATATATATTATGGGAAACATGATAAAAACCTAGCTTACAAAATTTATATGTTTTTAAGCATGTGAAGCTAAGCTAGAAAACGTTATTCGGTTTAATATAGTGCCCTCCACGATCAGCGCCCTGCCCTCTTGAGAAGCCAAATTTAGTCTAGTTAGTAGTTGCAGAATGTGCACAGTGGACCTATGGTGCATTCGCTCATTCCATTTGTCTGTGTTAATAGAGCACATAACTCGTAAACTTGTACATTATGTAAATAATTAAATATTTGTGTGGCCTAATTTAGTTAGTTTTACTTTGGAACCAGTGCCATTATCAATCGTATTTCATCGCTCGTATTTATTACCAAACATAAAACTGGTCCGTCGACCTGGAGATACTTTTGTTTTTGTTAACTAAGTTTGCATTAGTATAAAATGGCCACTATAGTTGCTTTAAATAAAATAAAAAAAAAAGGGGGGGGCTCAGTTAACCAGAATGGAGACTGTCATAGCGGATACTTCCAGCACATGGACTAAAATCAAAATAGATGCCACACTCAAGGCCTCGGAAAAGATATACGTTGCATTGGATACACTTTGATCAGAGTATTATATTGCTGTGCCTGAAAAGGATGATACTTCTGAAATAGAAGAGGAGTTATTAGATTTAGAAGCAAGAATCGATGATCTAGAGGTAAGTTTCAATCAAATGTTAATTCATAGTTTTGCAACTGTTAATAAAGTTGATATCACAAAGAGTAGTTGTAAAATAAAGTTACCTGAAATTCCACTTCCGCAATTTAGCGGAAAGTATGAAGAGTGGAACATGTTTAAAAATTGAATTTAATTAACAGATGCACAAAAGCTATATTATCTGCATGATCCTCTTAAGGGAGAAGCAAAATTGTTGCTAACTCAGGAAGATACTTCTGAATCATTATTTAGGGCTTTGAAAAATCGCTTCGAAAACAGAGAATTCTTGTTAATATTCACATTAAAGCTATCTTAGAATTTAAAAAAATTATTCATGAATCATCGAAAGAGTTAAGGCATCTAGTAGATGCTGTGAATAAAAACATTAGAGTTTTAAATAATCTGGGTTTCGAATGAAACAAATTCTCTGATATTTTAATTACTACTGTCATTTTAGAAACAATAAAACTCGAAAACAATTCGAATTATCCATAAATGCTTCAGATTTTCCTAATTTCAATAACTTGATGACATTCTTAAAAAAAAGAAGTCAAACTCTGGAAAGTATCCAAAAAACACAGTAAAATCAAAACAAATAAATGAAATAAGAACAAAAAACCTTCTTGTTCATTTAAGTAATTCGTAAAGAAATTGTGTAATATGTAATTTGTCACATTCTCTTTTTAAATGTAGTAACTTTCTTGATATGAATTTTGGTGAAAGATTTACGCTAGTAAAGCGAAATAATTTATGTCTGAATTGTTTGGAAAAAAAAGCACATTGCCTTGCAATGTAGATCAAATAATTTTTGTAATATTTGTCATTCAAAACATCACACATTGCTTCATAAGGACGAGTCATCAAATTTGGGTTCTGTTTCAAATAAACATCCACAGATGACAGAGCAAAAGACAGCTGGAGGAAAGGATATTCCTCTGGTGATGGGTCTTTCAAATTGTTTATTAGCTACGAATAAAAGTGTTATCTTGCCTTCTGCTATCTTTATGATAAAAACTTCAGAAGGGACATTCATCAAAGGAAATGCTCTCTTTCACAGTTGTTCACAAATTAACTGCGTGTCATTCATTTTGTAAAACAATTGGAGATTAAAAAAACAAAGGTTTTCACTCCGATTTCAGGACTAAGTGGAGCTGATGTTACTTTAAATTACAAATTGAGGACTTCAATTGCCAATAAGGAAAAAACTTTCTCTAGAAAACTTGATAACACACCTGAGAAAACAGATTTAATATTGGGTGCAGAATGTTTCTAATTAAAATCGGATAAAGTTTGCAGCGCGTCAAAAGACTTACTGTTCCAGGAAACGGTTTTGGATTTGTAGTTTGTTGTATATTTTGAGATGTACACAGCGGACCTATGGTGCATTCGCTCATTCGATTTGTCTGTGTTAATAGAGCACATAACCTGTAAACTTGTACATTATGTAAATAATAAAATATTTGTGTGGCCTAATTTAGTTAGTTTTATTTTGGAACTAGCACCATTACCAATCGTATTTCATCGCTCGTATTTATTACCAAACAAACGTAATTCAATAATGCAATCACACGAGTATCTTGGTTATCCCTGCACATCTAATTTCCAAGATAAATCAGGTAGCATCAAGCTTGCTGTTTTAAGTGACTAAACTGAAATACTACTTAGTAACACAGAAAATTTCTCAGTCTCTCTCTTCTTTTTCCCTCTGCTATGTACAAGGTAACCAAAAACGTTCTTGCCATTTTGGACAGTCAGAAAGAAAGTCATAAAACAAATAACAATCACCCCTAATCCTCAAAGTAATCACCACTGACATCCAGTGCCGTTTGGCAATGAGTGGCTAGCTGTGTGATACCACTGCAGTAAAACTCAGGAGTCTTGGATGCAAAGAAGTCCATGAGAGACTTTTCGAGGTCTAGCCAGTAGTTGAAGGATTTCCCATGAAGATGTTGTCCAGGAAATAGAAAAGGTGATAGTCTGTTGGCACAAGGAGTGGTAAATAACGGTGGAGGGGGTAGCGTCTCCCAGCCCAGCCAATGGACGGTGTCTCTGGCCCCCTGAGCCACATGCGGCCTCGCTTTGTCGTGGAGGAGGAGTGCACCCTTACAATTGACCAATGTTGGCTCTTTATGCATCAGTGCCTGATGCACATGTTTCTGCAAGTACACATCTGCTGTGATGGTTTGGCCCACTGGCAGGAGCTCACAGTGCACCACTTGGCGAGTAGACCACCAGATACAGAGCATGATCTTGCGTGGGTGAAGAGAAGGTCTCGCAGTGTGAGGCACAGGGTCCCGTAGTGACAACCAAAGTCTGGAATGACTGAGTTTGTCATACTGGACCCACTTTTCATCACTAGTGAGTACTCAATCAAATATGGATGCATTGCGGTGCCGAGTAAGCAATGACAAACACACAGACACACGCTGTTGCTTGTTTGCATTAGAGAGTAATGTACCCACTTACTCAGCTCATATTCCTTTCCTATGCGGTACAAAATGATCGTTTCATCAGATACCTGTAAGTGTGCAGCAAGCTCATCACATGTTTGGCAACCATCACTTAATGGCTGCTCTCAGGGCCTATCGTCCAGCACTTGTGGCCAACTGCTACGTGGTGCATCACTACGAGATATATCCCCTGAACTGAATTTCTGGAAGCTTTGCCTAGTGGGTCGTTCTTTAACGGCATCATCCCCAAAGGCCTGGCAAATTCGGCGACTTGATCCTGCTACTGACAGGCCCACTTTAAAATCATACAGCAAACAACTCCGAACAAGCACCTTTGACGCACCCATTTCAATCAGTCGCTGTGCAAGTTATGTTTGAGGTACAGATGCAACGTGCTTTTATACTCTTGGTCAATGTCCGCACTCCCATCCCAACCACTTCATTGCCAGGTTTGACGACTATTTTTATGTTGGGGTTCACTCTTCCAATGTCATATCAGAAACAGGAAGAACATTTTTAGTTACCTTATATTTGCTTTTTTGTTGCTTCTTGTTGAAGTAAAAAAAAAAAAAAAATATAAAAAGTTAATTCTACACATAGCTAAAAAATTCACAATACAGGACTGACATAGTAATCTCAGTTGACGTTTAGGAACCTAGATGAATGCACTGTTTCAGCTAGAATAAAATTCCCAAAAAATAAATAAATAAAAAATCTAAATGGAACAGTCACCCAAATGGGTTTGTTAAGGTTTTTTACGCGGTCACTAAGATTGCAGTCCACTAGTCTGCTGTTACACCCAATCCTACTAACCCCCTTTCTTGGTCTTTTTTTAGCTCTATTTTCTTTGCACTTACGTCATATACATTCAACACCAAAATTACAAATAATAAATAAATAAAATAAATTTAAAAGCAGCATAGCGGTATATGTTTAGAATTTTCAATGCAGCATTAAGTATTCGCATACATTCTTCCCCTCCCCCAAGTTTTTTTAAGTTCATCATATCAATGTTCAGTTCTTACTAAAAAATGGCTTTACGAAACTTTTTTCCGTCTTTTTATTGTTTAAATTTTGCATGTTTGCTTTATTTATTAAATATTACATGCCAGGCACTTACAGCACATAAAATTCGATTCAACAGCAAAATCTCGAAATATTTAAAAACAGCATAACTTTAGAATTACTGACAGTCTCAGGCACTGGAGATCAAAACATCCCCCCCGCACTGTTCACTTTGAAAACGTCGAGTTTGTTAATAAAAAATTCCTTAAAATTTTACAAAATATTAAATGAATAATAAATAAATTCAAAATTCGAGCTTCCAGGTGCCTGTGTTCAAGTGGTGGACGTTATTTAAAATTCATTGGCTCTATCTACTGTTCTTTTTTTACAGAAATATGCATATATTCATGCAGATTGTTTATTACTTAATTTCTTTAGATATAATATAAGGTGATAATATTTGGTGGCAAAAATTTGAAAAGTTATACGCCATTTATAATGATTCAACGCAAAATGCTTTTTCGAGACTTATCCATTTGGAACTAAAAAGAATTCTTGCTTGATTCCAAACTATTTTTCAAATTATATCCTATGTCTTGGTATAGATATCATGCTTTCTCTGTAAGAAGTAACTATTGTTTTAGTTCTGTCATATCTGGGGATTTATATCTTAAATATATGGATAGAATTCGCAATTCAAGTAATCACAAATGTACTAGCAGTATCAGGAGGTATTGCATTCTTATTCTATGCTACGTCAGCAAAGGCCGCACATGTACTTCTCAGTAATTTGCAATTAAGATTTTAGAAGTTTTTAAAGTTATAGAAATTATTCTTCACCATTTCCTCTAGACAATATTTATATGACCCTTTACAAATGAGAATTAAAATTGAACCTTGAAAATTATTTTATTTTACTACATTGTAAAATTTAAGTTTTATTGCGTTATTTAATTGTTTTTAACTATTTATTGTGTTACCCCAAACAATAAGAGAAATCTGGGGTTTTGAAATGCTGCATAAATTTCTTTCTGATCTAATGATTTTAATAGTTAAAAGTTCTACTTTGAACCGAGATTTCTCTTTCTTCACAAGAGTACTTGCTTCAAATAAACTTTTTGATATCTCTAGTTTGCTATGGGCATCATTTGGTTTGAAACAAAAGCAATTTCTAGTTATTTAAACAAAAAATGATGTAAGAAATAAAGCCTCTTTTAACGAACTGATATAAATAAATAGAAGCAACCCTTTTCAGTTATTATTTGGTTTTGACGCAAAAGCAATTTATAGTTATTCAAACAAATATTATCTTAAGGGCATACCTGCCAACCTCTAAAGATAAAAATTCAGAAGATTTCTCCAAAATTCAGAAGAACACGAAGAAGTAATATCATGCTTTGATATTAAAAAAATAACAATTTATACAAATAGAAAAAAGAAAATTGTACTTACATTAATAAATCCCAATTAAGTAGTAACTAAAAAATTTATTAGGAAACATAAAACAAAAACTTAATGTTACGCAAAAAAATTATTGCAATGAATTTAGAGTGCATTTTTTGGCTTTAGCCAAAAATTCTTTGGAAAAATTCCTATCATAACAATTAGTTTCCTCATAACATTTAGCAATTAAAATGTTTTCTAGAGTTTTTGGCGAAATTGAAGAACGAAACATAGTTTTGTTTTTCTTCACAACACTGAAGACTCTCTCGCACTCAGCATTACTGTGTGAAATTACGAGAATAGCACATAAAAAAACTCTTGCTAGTCTATCATATTTTGGTGTTCCATCAGCTCTTTTTATTCTTTTTAAGGTACCAATGAGGACATCAAGTCTATCTTCTCCAGAACTGGCAAAGTCTTCAAACTGTGTAAACGATAACTCTGCCAAAATGACATCGGCATCCGAATTCGTAGCCGAATTTGAGGAAGCACTTCCGCAGAGCACCCAGTAAATGTAAACATCGCCAACTTTGGCGATAATAGTTCAACCTGGGAACCCAGCGAATTTATCCTATTCGCTTGTTCGAAGTTTGCAACCATTCCTCTTGCGTTCACTTTGTTGAATTATCACTGTCGTTGTTCGCATTTGCAGATTTATATTCTTCTTCTCTTATTTATTATTATTTTTTCTGAATTTTTTAACAACGAATAGATAGAAATATTTTCGTAGATAGATGCCGGTTCTCGGTTCAGGATGAAAGGAAGAAAATACGGCGGGAGGGGTAAATGCTAATTTGTAACACGGCTGTTCACGTTGTGTTCTTAATTATTAGCAGCTGCAAGCATGCAGAACTATGAGGTTTTTAACCCCTAAAATAATTTGTTTTCGTAGGCTGCAAAAATATGCATGTGCATTTTAAGTAATTAAGTAATGCTTTTATTTTTATTATTGGTTATTGTCATCTAAAATTACGAGAATAAATCAATTTTTATGGCGTAAAATTTTAACAAGATAATATATGTTGTTGCTCGTTAGAAAAGTATTAACAATGCTTTTCTAACAATAACCATTCAGAGGATGGCAGGTGTGGACATAAATAGATGATTGAAATTGAAATAAAAATATTACTGATTATCTAAGATGACAGAATAGTTTGATGCATCCACCATGGTCATAAAGAATTAGCAAACAACTGCTGGTGTAAGGAATGTATTGTTTTCCATGTGCTAACTGGAATTTAAGACAAATTTTTTTTCGTTTATCACGTTAACCGGTTAATTTCAGTATATTAACACTAATTTATAGTTTTTAAATTAATTTTTATTTCTGTTATAAATGCTTATATATTATCTTATGCTTAATATATTCTTTTCTGTACTAACTTGAATTTAATACAAATTTATTTCCGTATATCACGTTTAACCGGTTAGTTTTACATCCTACATGCATATTATCTGTGAATTTTTACTACCATATGCTTAATATATTGTTTTGTCTGCTAACTTGAATTTACATGCACTAAAAATCACGTCTACAAAATAATAAATATCACGCTTACGCGGCTCATTGTCGATGAACCGCGAGCTTGGCGAGTAAAAATGCAACGGGTTCTTTCCCGAAGCGCCAACGGGTTCTCTGCGGATGAAAACCCGAATTCGAAAAAAAAAAAATCATCCACTTTTTTGACGTTGTCGAAGCCGAAGCATTAACTTCATGCTTTTTAGACTTAACATGCTTCACAATGTCGCTTCTTCCACCGTGACTTATTATGAAGTCACACACGCACACGCTGCAAAATGCATAGTTATTTCCTTTGAAGGATTTTTTAATTGTTGGAAATTCGGCTTTGTAGGCAGGCCGAAAATATTGAGAATACGGTTTTTTTTAACTCATTTCGTAACAACGACGTATTAAGAAAATTCGTAGCACGTGGGGGGAAAAAAATCCACGCTAAAAAAATAATCTGGCGCCCACAAAGAAAAGAGTGGGAGAAACAAGTTCAGCGCATTGGATTAGCTGGTTAAGCGGCGAGTTGGGAGAAACCACAGGTTACTGGATTCGAAGTAATCGGTAGTTGGCGGTAAAACACGATGCAATTGGCGAAAAATTGTAAAATTTCGACAAAAATCACTAAAAACACTTGAAAAAGGAAAAAAATCGTAAAAAATGGATTACGATCGTAAAATCGTAAAGACAAACGCATTTTCGTAAAAATTACGAAAAATTCGTAAAAGTTGGCAGGTATGTAAGGGAGAAAAAATGATGTAGGAAATCGAGCCTCTTTTAATGAACTGATATAAATAAATAAAACCAACCATTTTTAGTCCTCTAAAAATGAGGAAGGTAGAAAGACTGGTTTAGAAACACTACCCCTTTCATGTATGTCATCGCATATCTTTAAACAAAACTTTTTTCAGCCAATACAATATGTTAACTGTCATCCTATATATTAATATATTTTCCATGACGATTGTACATTTATTGTCCACTTCAGGTACTAGAAGAGTTGATCGATATTCGAATAATAAAGGTTAAACAGGACTGGAGATATGAGTAGAAACTCTTTTCTGGCTCTTGGTGATAATTTCTGTTGGCAATTCAGCAATTTCTTGCTAAACTAGCAACCTTCTGAAAATGTTTTCAAAGCTTCCCTCCCTTTAAGCAAACCTATAAGTATATAGAGAGGTCCAAACAGTTAATTCACAGTCTTTGAATATTTTACAAGTTTTATTTGAATATTTATTCTTGCTCAGTAATACTTTGTTCTGAGTGATTCTGGAGATTTGTAATATTCCCTCAAGTATTAAGGAGAATTTTGCTTTCCTCTTATCTTATCATTTATGATTAAAAAAAAGGTTGTTACACACTTTAAACACAAAAAGAAAAGAACTTACAGAAATATGGATGATCCATAGCTTCACGTGCTGTGAGTCTCTCTTGATGGTCATATCGCAGAAGTTTGTCCAGGAAATCAAGTGCTTCAGGTGTCACTAGATGCTGATTATCACTGTGAACAAAACGTTCCCACCTTTTTCGTGAATGTCTGTAAAAAATATAACAAAAAACAGATATAAGAAATGATACTGTCATGAGGAAAAAGGGAATTTTTTTAAAAAAAAAGGCACGTGACATATTCAAAAATGAAAAACTTATTTTTACTGTAGTGATTTAATACCCTGCAACCACAATTTAAAAAACAGTGCAGCACTGTTTTACATGTTTCTCACTTATAAATCTTTTACATTTTACACTGTTTAATATTGGATCCTGATTTAGTCCTATGTATTTTAGTCATATTTCTTTTCTACATCACATAACTTTGGTTACATGTTACTTTTAGTTAACCTATTGCATTGTATATTCTACAGTTCACTATTTAAGTATTCTTCCCAAAAAAGGAAACAGGAGAAAGAAACAAAGGCATGAGACATCACATTTTGGTACAGGAGTTGTAAACCAGTTCATGAATAGAAAGAAGGGTTTTTCTTCTGAACAGGACACTGTGTTAAGTAAACTAGGTAGAGTCCCGCAAACTTGACATATGTGGACTGAGAGACTGTCGAGTTTTACGGAATATGGGGTGGGTTTTTCAGAACTCTTAATATTTAAGTGTAAATTACTGCAGCACAATACTGGACATAGAATCGTATATGTAAATAAGGTACTCAACTAATAGTAATTACCATAAAATTTATTAGGGCTTTCTCTTGTAAAATTGGTTCTGAAATGGGTGTTCCTTGTTCCGTTTGCTGTATCAACCATAAATAAAGCACCTTGCTCACTTTTCTCTATTCACCACCTTTCATAATTTTTCTTTCCTTTAAACTATCTGTACCTGCTCTTTTTACGCACCAAGACTCTATTTCGGACCTCTCCTTTTTTTACCCTCCATCCAACACCTAAATCCATGGTAATTTTGTTTACACTTTCTCGTTTGTCCAGTCTGTTTAAGGCATCTAGTTTCATTTTCATTGTCACATTTAGTTTGCTTTCTTTTCTTTTCGAACGACATTTTCGCTTCACATAATATCAAAAGTCCCCAAAAATATGTTAACACTTATACGCCTGGATGTGAACTGAGGAATGATGACCGCAATGAATTGATGAAAGTTTAGTTTGCAATAAGATGCGGTCAAAAAACTTCAAACAAATTTTGTAACGTTTCGCAATAATAGAAAGGAACATAAGCTGGCGGCCAGCTGCTATCTGACTTTCTTTGTATCCTCAAAAGAAGCAAACAACGTTGCCAAGTATTACAACGTATCTTGAAATTTGTTAGGCAGCTCTAAGGATTAATCGCACAATGCAAAAATTACAGAAAAAGAATACACAAATCTTTGAACAGAACAGGAAAGACATTCACATAAATAATAATTATATGTACTGCATGTAATATTTGCTCTGTTTGGCCTAGAGATATCTTATAGTTTCTAAAATGTTGTCAAGTTATACGGAATGTCAGGATATTGGAGTCAAGTTTGTGAGACTCCACTGTACCAGACACTTGTTCAATTTTTTAACCCTTTAAAATGTTCTACACCAAAAGCTGTTATCTTGAGTTTCCTTTCAGTTCTGAATGGCAGCACTATTTTATGAATTGTCAATATTTTGCAGATATGAAATTAATATACCTCATTCAAAGGTATCATATTTAAATACTCATAAATTCTATTGAAGGGGAAGGGGATTCAAAATCTTCAAATATATGATGTACGCATGCTGAACATTATATATATTTACTGCCATATGCTAGGAATGAATAAAAGTATTTTAGTTTATTTTTATACTTTGCTCACTCCAGCCAAGTTTTCATGCATTTCTGTTTAATTAAAATTTTAATTTCAATTAAAATTTTAATTTAATCGATGAGTTTTTCTTGGGAAAAAGGTGTCATCAATTTCAAAACTGCCGTCTGGCATCAAAACATGCACAGTTATAAAAGTTAAATGTGGCATGTTAGCTGTGAAAGAGACCTGTCAATTTACATTTTTCAAAATACTAGAATGCAGAGAAAATGAAACAAGGTGATAAATGGCTAATTTTGCCACAGGAGGGTTTTGATAAGATCACACAAAAAGGAAGCTCACTCACTAACATTGGAAACAGACGTGCACTTTAGGTTTTCACCTGGTAGTGAAATGGAAAATTTGCTGATTTTAAAGCATGCTTTTATACTTTAGGGGATCATCTTTGTTAATTTCAGGTGAGAGACTAGTGAACACAAGAGAAATTGTTTCCCTGAGTAAGGATATTAGTAGGTGGTTTTCAAAAGAAGACTTCACAGTTGGTGAAAATATGGAAAATATTCCCAAGGTCAGTTTTAGACACAAAACATTTACCTTTGGAAGGAAAATATCCACTTGTTCCACAGGGCCTGACAATCAGGGAAAAAAGGGGGACTTTGTGGTATGTTTGACCTTTACTGAAGAGATGTCATTCCTGAGCAAAATTATGTATTACCGTAATTTCCAGAAGAAATGTTGCGGCGTTTTATGTTTAAAACTTAAATTTTCAGCGGGTGCGGCATTTAGGTGCACTAAAAATAAAATATTGCTTAATGATGGCCATTGTACATAGACTGGTGCTGTTCCCACACAAAAGACCACTCAGTTGCTTTTCGTGAACGTTATTTTGTTTACATTCTTTCCCTTGAATGGACCTACATGCCTTATTCACCCTACATGGGATCTCAGAACAATAACATTCTTCTCCCTTTCAAATCAACATCCTCATCAGTTTGAATAGTCTCTCTCCTCTGCCATTCAATGAATCTTCCAGGACCCATCCTCTTCCCACCCCTGCCTTTTCTGAAATTTTTTTCAAAGGTGGACTCGACTCCACCTGCCTCACAATAAAGAACTCTGACCTATTTCCCCTTCAGCATGAATCGATTTTTCTTGGCATTCACCAGATACAGATCCCATCAGTTTGGGTACAAGTACTTGTTGGATAGTTTTTAAGTAAGAAGGGAGCGGAAATGTTTTGAAAATGGCACCTAAACGGCACAGAAGCTATACTACTGGTTTTAAGCTTAATGTAATTTCACGTGCTGAACAAATTGGAAATAGAGAAGCAGCTCGAGTGTTTGAAGTGAACGAGAGATGTATTCGACGTTGGAGAACTGAAAGAGAACTTCTTAATAATATGACACAACAGAAACGAGCCAAAAGAAGTGGTACTTACTATAAGGTGTCCAAATCTAGAGGACGACCTTGTAAATTGGATAAAGGAGTAACGAGGAAAGGGAATGGCAATTTTGACTTTAAAAATTCGCTTACAAGCAAAATTTGAGCAAAACAAATGAACATAAATGATTTTAAATGAGGACCTTGCTGGTGTAGCAGATTTATGAAAAGAAAAAATATTTTTGCGTGTACTAGAACAACAGTCAAGCAACAATTACAAATGGATTGGCAGGATAAAAAGGCATCTTTTCTAAAATATGTGACAGATATTATTGACAAAAAAAAACTTCTTCGGTCACAGCTAATAAATATGGATGTAACGCCATATTTATTAGCTGTGACCGAAGAAGCTTTTGACTCTCCTGCAAACAGAACTGTTGATGAAACTGGTGCAAAAACTGTATTTGTGCTTACGACAGGGAATGAAAGAACGTCATTTACATGCGTGTTAGTTTGTGCCGCAAACAGTGACAAGCTAAAGCCGATGAACATTTTTAAATGAAAGACTATTTCAAAGGGAGATTTTCCTAATGACGTAATTATTTGTGCAAATGAGAATGGCTGGATGTGCGAAACAATCATGCATGAGCGGCTACAAAAACATTTGGCAGTGTCGTAAGGGATCTTTTTCCAACCAAAAGGGTTATTGATAATGGATTCCATGCGTGCTCATTTACTTGAGTCAGTGAAAACCAGACGTAAAAAATTGTCTACGACCGTAGCAATAATTCCTGGTGGTTTGACAAAAATCTTACAACCATTAGATTTGTCAGGTAATAAATCCTTCAAAGCTGAAGTCCGAAAGCGGTGGGAGTGTTGGATGAGTGAAGGATTGCATACGTATACCAAAAACGGTAAAATGCGTAGAGCATCTTATGAAGAAGTTGCAAAGTGGGTAGGAAATGCGTGGAAATCGGTAAAAACATCGTCAATAATAGCAGGGTTAAAAGAAGCTGAAATTATATCCTTAGATAAAGAGATTGTAAACCAAGAGGATGAATGTGACGATCTGAAAGACTTGGACTTAAATCAGGATTTATTAAATCTTTTTAATTCAGATAGTGAAGAATCAGATTTTGATGGCTTCATATGATGTATAGTTTGCTGTAATTCCTTTTGTACGTAAAATTTAAAATTTCCTTTTGTCATCCAAATTTAACATTTTGTTGCTGCAATATTTTTTATAATATAGTCTGAGTATTACAAATATGGACTTCTTTAGTGGGTAAATGTAAGTATATACGTGAACATAAATAATATTTTCAACATTTCTTACCTTTATTTTTGAGTTATGGTTTCATTTCATGCATTTTTCTTAACTGATATGTCATATATCAGGACTTATGTTGAGATTTTGCATCTACACGACCCACGATTATGTCATGTGCAATTTAATCTATCGCAGCATTTACGCTAATGCGGCGTTTCTGTGCAATTTAAATTTTTTCCTGCCATTTTTCTCGAGTGTCACGTTAAGGCTGATGCGGCCTTTCTTCTGGAAATTACGGTACTTTCTTATTTATCGAAAATTTAAAAACAGTCCTTTAGGTGGGACTGAGGGTCTGAAAATCAAAATAAGAGATCTGAGGTGTATCAAGTAATAAAATTGTTTAACAGTTTTTCTTAATGAACAAAATGATATATTACATATATATTTACAAAAAATAAAAAAGAAGCCCTATAACAGAAAGTGGCAAAAATTAAAAACAAAACTGGCAGCTGCATTTGGGGGGGGGGACCTTACATGGGCCATGGTATAAAATATATTCCGGCTCTCAAAATTCAAGATTTTTTTTAAATGTTCTTAGTGTCCATAAGTTACCATTCATGCATAATTTTACCACAATTCTTTTATATACCCTCTCAGAAAGGTTAAACGTATGACTGCATCAAAACTAGCTTTCAAAGATTGCTCCACTCTAAATAGAAAAATGGAATTAATGACTGCTTACCTTCCTAAGATGTCATTGAATCTGCTATCAAGGACTATTTGATACTTATCAAGATACTCGAAGAGTTCTTCTGTACCCAATACTTTGACAATTCTTACTAACTATAAGAAGAAAAGTATATGATAGGATCAACTTGCAAGGAAATTTAATAAAAAACAATATATGCATCTGCTTTAATGTAAAGAACACAAAAATAGCATCACCACAAGAATCCTAAATTATACATTATAATGCAGCAGAAAAATAAAACATTCTTAATTTTTGATGCCAAGTTATCAATTTTCTTGATAGATGGCAGCCAGGTGATGGACACTGCGGACACCTGGTGGCTGCCAGAAGTAAGCAAATGTATGTCCCTCATCCTCCATTACCTAGCAACAATACCTCTCACATGACCCCCAAATATGCCCTAATGGGAGGTAATTGAGAAATTTGAATACATTTACACTGCTACAGTTGAGTACAGTTGGTATAAAGGTTCTGCTAATAACACAATAAACCTGTATATGCATTGTACATGCATTAAACACACACATAAAACATAGTTCGTTGTACACTACTGAAACAAGCATACTAATATACGAGTTGCACATAGTCTGCACATGTGAGTTTATTATACTCAGTCTCTGAGCAAATAGTAGCATTATTATTTCCCATAATTAATGAAATCTTACTAGTCAAATGTAAAATTATAAAACTATTCTGTCATTTCTTTAGATGGTTTGTGAATTCAACATTTCATTTTATACAACAATAAGTATGCCTATACTCAAATAAAATACCCATTTCTTTTCCCTCTAAAATAAATCTGATTTTTAAAACAACAACTGAAAGGAAATTTCAATTTCATTAAAAACTGTATATATTCACATACTTTCTATTCATATTCACCATTAAATATGTTCACTACATTAAGTTTGTTTTCATTCAGTAACATGACAAATTATTTTGCCACAATATGTAATTTTAGCCTGATAATCTGCCATTCTCTGTCGCAAGTAAGCTTAATTATTAGACTTTTGTTACATCGAAACTTTATTTGAATGAATAATGAATACAGTAAAAATAGTACACCTATTCATATTTGCATTTTAATCTGTTAAGTTCTTTATTTAAACCTTCATTTCAAAAGTAACATACATTGCTTTATTTTCCTTCTCAATTTTCAGGGGGTTAAATTAGCAGAGCAAATTGTAGAGAATATGCAAAGAAATATGGTTATACAATGAATAAAAATGTTTTGGTCTGTATTAAAAATAAAATTCAAATACGGAAACAACAACTAAATTCAATTTGCACGCAAATGAAAAGATAACTGACATTATAACTATAACCACTATGTGACAGCTTCAGTTATTTAATTTAAACAAAAGTACGTGGGGATTATCTGCTTAGGCCCCTTCCCAGTTTTCAATGATAATGCCTCAAAGGATGTAACCTGAGGATCATTCTTCCCCTAATAACAATCTCCTCAGAAGACTCAGTTTGAGAAATTTTGTGTGGCCACATTCCACAAATATTATTAAAATCAAAAACATTTTTACTTTTTCCAAGATTTAAACCTGGACCAATGGCATGCATATAAAAATGTTAAATAAATCTTTTCTTAAAATAAAATAACATATTAACTTGGAACTCTTTGAAGATAAAATTAATAATATAAATTACAAAGCACCTTTCTATGTATTTCATATACCAGTTTGGCCTTTATGACATTCTTAAGCAAATAATATTTTCATAGAAACTTTGGTATTTTTTTGTCAGTGCTAGAATGTACATAACTGTTGTGGGTGCAAATCCAGTATTTTATGTTATAATTTTCCGTTTTGAAGTAATATGCAAAACAAGTATAGCCCAGTGTGCTTATGTATGAATTTAGATCTGTAAAGTGTTTAGTCATTAAAAGCCACTTCCTAAGATAAATTCAAGAGTCCAATAGATATGTATAATATAGCAATGGATTTACCTAGTGTTCCATTTTTGGAACACCACATAACTATAAAATGGGTTGAAAATTAATTTTTGGTCTTTAAATTCTTGTTTTTTTATATTTTTTTTTAGCTAACATAACATTAATTTCATGCATATTTTCCAAAAATTTAAACCTCCTGCATGCATGGGTTAAGGAGAATGCAAACAAAATTCATCTTAAAAGCAATTTAGCATTACTTCTTTCAATTTTCAAACACCACATTAAATACTCAAATACATTACTAATACCCCCCCTGTATAGTGATCTTTAATCAAAAGCTAAAAATTTTATGGTTTAATTTTTTTTTTTTTTTTTTAAATAAATAAATAAATCACACTAAAGGTACCAACATGAATCAAACTACCTTTCTCTAAGTACAACTAAATAATCCAAACTGACAATTAAACTGATAAAAATAATGTACAACTTTCCCAATGTCGAATACCACTTTAAGATATGAAACAAGTGTTTCTTAAATGAACAACAATATTTAAATCACATTACTTGCCACTTATGTCTATATGCACTTTGAATAAAATGAAAAACACCTAGAAAAAAGAGATTTATACACTTAATATGATAGAAGACCATAATTTAGATATTTAAGCAACTTCAGTCTTATTTGAAATGGAATGCACGAAAAAATTTCCGATAAATAAGAATGATATAAATAAATAAGCTGTAGGTTTCAAATGCCTAAATTAGCTTGTGCATTCACCAAATTTTTACCTTCCCGCTTTTAAATAAATACCACATTCATGATGCTGATGGATTACTAATTAACTAATCACCATATAATTCCTAATAACAAGAATTATAATTCTTAAGCATGGCATAGCATTTAACCATAGCTATTTACACAGGCAAGATGCTTCACAATCTTAAGAAAATGGTCCATTTTCTACATAAAAGGGAATCCACAAAAAGATGTACACAGCCCAAACACAAGTACATAGGTGAGATGGCAAAACAAGTAGTTAATTATGGAAAAACATTCAAGAGCTATCAATAGTTATTAAGAAAATAATTATTAATGAACTACGAGATAGGGAGTGATTGTAGCATCATTACAAAAAATCATTACTGGCTGAAGAAATGGCTGCAGGTTATTCAATTTTTCGGATTTTCAATTTGCTCTATATCAGCGGTTCTCAACCTTTTGACTAACGCATACCATCTAAAGAAAAACTGAAAACTTAGTTACCACCACTACAAAGTACTACTACCACCACCACTCTTGAACAAAGCTTGAACAGCACAAACTTACGAGTGATAGAGAAAAAACTCAATCAGGGTGTTGGGGTTTTAATTTTTGAATTTAGTAGGTAAAAAATACTTTGCTTCTTTGCGTATCACCTATTTTTCTCTTGCATACAACCAATGGTATGTGTATCACCAGTTGAGAATCCCTGATTTATATCTTTCCTATATAATATTTAATATTATTTAATATTAATTATTAAATATTTCTTATTTAATAATAATAAGTGTTCACACAAATTATTAAAAGGAGTAAAATTTGTTTAATTATAGGGCAAGAAAAACACTAAAGCATGTTCTGTACCTTATGAAACATTTTGAAAAAAATCATCCACACATTCCAATGCTCAGAGATTTTTACCTCAATTCCTAGTGTTCACCAAAATTGCCCTTACCTTATTTATTCGCTGTATCAAAATTCAATCTGATAATATAAGCTCACATGTAAATTCTGCATCTATTTTTTTTTTTTTTTTCATTTTGTAATCATGAATGTATGGGATATTTTTACAAGTAAAACATACAAGACATTTACTTAGGCATATCTTGATTATCAAATTACAGCTTTTTAACTCACATACACACACAAAGAAAGATTATAGAAGGGGGAAAAAACTCTAATGAAAAATCAGTATGGATTCAAAGCTGGAATTCATCTTAACATGTTGTAAACTCACTTTTTTCCTTGCTAAACAAATCTTTTTCACAAACCATTATCTGATCTGCTTCTATACGTAGTATACTTTTTTTTAACCCTCTCAGCGTTATGGCCGGAAAATTCTGCATAGAAGGCTGCCTTCTATATTCATTATATATGAAAATTTCTGCTAGTTTTTAATGTATCTGATTTCAGTTTGGATGTTATTGGAAGAAAAGGAATCAAGATACAAAATGAGAGAGTCATTTTTTAATTACAGTCAAGAAAATACCACTTATTTATGACATTTTGAGGAACTCTGATATTTCAGGGCTAAACCCGTAGAGGGTTAATGGATCTGGAATTGTTATCACTTTATATACTATGTGTGCTTTATAAGCATGAATAAAGTACACATGTGAGAGTGACAGCACCAAAGTGGGAAAAAAAAAACAAACATTATACATTGTTTCAGAGTTACCTGATCATAGTTATCATGGCCATGGAAAAATGGTTCCTTTCTGAAAATCATACTAGCTAACATGCATCCTAAACTCCACATGTCCAAGGAATAATCATACATCTGAAATTTTAAAATTAATTCTATAATTACAGACATTTAAAAAAACATGAATTCTAAAGACTTTATTCACATTGCAAGCAAATTCATTTATCATAACAGACAAAAGAAGGGAAGAGAAGAAAACGCACAGACTACAATCATAATGAAATACTATTTAATTTACTTTGAAAACACTGGTCAGCATAAATTTTGATGTTTTAATAATGATGAAGTGTTTCCTGGCAGACAATTAAAAACTGTTAATATTTTCAATATTTCTTCAAAAATAATTTGACATGTATTGACAAATCTAAGACAAATACCACTATAATTATAATGACTGATTGACACTAATTTTTCAACAGCTATCTATCCCACGCTGCTCAGTACTAGTACATGTGCCGTAATATGAATAAGTTTTCTTTTTATGTCTTTCATAATAGCATTTTATGAAAATTAGCTTCTTTTAAAACACGGAAATGAATTTGATATACATGAATCTCTGGAGTTCTTAAATTCTGCTGTCCAGAGCCTCAGTAAATTTTAATAATTTTGCCACCCAAATATGGCTCTGGTTTTGTAAGAACTGTATCATGCTACAACAAATATATACAAGCTTTAATTAAGCTTTTTTTAAATGCATATGTTTTTAACTTTATTATTATCATTTCAGTATTATATTTGGGACTCCAAGACAATGGGCTACTCAAAGTAAGTCAAATCTGATGAAAGCTTTCAGACTTTTCACAAACAAGCTAAATACCTATTAGAATTCTATGAGGGGGAAGATCCACATCACCATTATGACTACTATTTCTGCATAACAAATAATGGTTACAGCTAACCCCTCCCCCCAAAAAAGGTGCCACATTCATATACAGATTTAAGAAATACATAATGCAACCCATAAGGAAAATTCTCATGTTTCTCAGAAACCAAATGTAGATTCAGTTGATTTAAAAAAAATGTTTATATGTCTGAAACATATATTACAACTACATTATTTATAAAATATATAAGCTAAGTGCTTTAATACAACACACTAGTACAACTTTTAATTAAAACTCATCAGACATATTTACTAATTTTACTAATTTTAAGCATAAGAAGGTCTAAAAAGGTTATTCCAAATACATGTATTTATGGAAGAGCAAATATATGACTGATTTAGACTAATAAAACAATACTTTCCTGAGAGATTTTTAAATCGCCTCAAACATTTCCTCATTTCTTTACAAAATCAAGTAAATTCGGGAGCTCTTCATACGCAAAAACAAATTTTTCTTATAAATAAAATTAACCGAGAAGGAAGGAAAAAAAAAAAGTTCTCCATCATTTTTACAGCTTTATGAAAAAAGAAAAGTATGTAAAGCATGTATGAAGCAAACACTCTTTGTTTTAACATAAAATTCTCAAATGGTAATCTTTTAAAAATGTATACAGCTAGTCAAAACATAAATATTTTTCTTAGCTCTAGTGCCCATCAATTCCATATTAATTGCTAAAAAAACAGTGCAGATAAATTCTACATTTTTGTAAATAAAAATAGCAAGCACTTTAAAAGACCGAGTAGGGCATAAAAGAAAACATGCATCTTAACATCCACGTTCTTCTTATCAAAATAGCATTAACTAAATTATAGGCATTGAATTTCTTTAATATAATGAAAAAAAAAATATAAAATTTAGCACATTTAATAATTTTATACATAAAATAAAATAGATCCTTTCAGAAATTATCAATCATTAATGGTAAAATATTTACCTGGTAATCCACCAAAAGTTCAGGTCCCTTGAAATAACGAGAAGCCACTCTGACATTGTATTCTTGGCCTGGATGGTAAAATTCAGCCAACCCCCAATCAATCAAACGTAACTATAATAAATATTTAATACTTCACTCTGCATGTGAAAACTGCAGTACAGCCTACCTAAACTAACTTCTGAAGTTTTCTGTGCAAAACCATTTAAGACAGCAAATAAACTATAAATTTACCTTCCGATTCTCATGGTCAATCATTACGTTGTGTGGTTTGACATCTCTATGCATAATTCCCATACTATGGCTGTAATCTAATGCCTAGAAATATATGGGGGAAAATATTTTATGCGTATATAGGCACATAAAGACAAAACAAAAAAATAACCCATGATATGAAAATATCCTCTCTTCTGATACCCAAGTTTTAAAACATGCCCCAGCTTGATTTATTTATACAAAAAACTGGAAGTTCCTGCATTTTTTATAATCAACTCTGACTACTACAGAAGACATCTACATGAATGACACCGCATTTTATTTGCTTGTAGCACCACAGGTAAGCATTAATATAAAACTAATAAAATAATGGTAATCACAGATATATTGTCAGCAAATGCTTTTAATAAGCTAAAAAGAAATCTCTAATTTTTTAAACAATCTAATAATTGAAAAAATGTGATTAAAACTTATAACAATTTATATTGAATATAGTTAACCAAACAATTCATACCTTTAGCAACTCATATAAATAAAACCTAATGTCATAGTCCGTGAGGGTTTGATACAATTGCTGAAAAAAGGAGGAAAAAAGTAATGCTTTAGTTATAAAACTAAAATCATAAAAACAGTAAAACTATTTTCTTTTAGGATTCTATACTATTTTACTTCATAAAATATAAATAATTTATTTAAATGAATTTTTCTGTAATGCAAAATAAAAGATTCAAATAAACCTCTTAGATTTTTATTGCACTCAATAGTATTAAGGACTAAATTCAATCTGGATTCAGAAGTGTGGAGACATAATAAAATTAAATATTTTTAATGAAAATAAGCTAAAATAAAATTAAATAAATTAGATTAAAAAATTAAATTAAGTCCAGACTACATAAATTATTAAGAATAGTTATGCTAATTGTATACTAACATAGCTAACTATACAGTTATTGTTAGATAAACTTTAATATAAATTTGTACACACCTAATACTGAAGCAAACATTTTTAATTAATCATGCAGCTAAAATTTCAAAACATGGTGTATCTTTAAGGCACAATCCTATCTTTAATGCACAATCCTTACGATTATAAAACTAAGAATGCATATATTTTTATATTACTCTAATTAAAAAATAAACTTCATTTTCTAAAACAACATATCATTACAATATTTACCTTGAAATCTGTATTGTTGACATGCTCAAATATTAATGCTGGTGTCCGTGACTGAAATTACAATAGACATTAGACTTTAGTTTTACAGAAGAATAGCATATAAAGGCATAGAAATACATAGAACTTTGAAACACTTACAACAAAATCTTTCACAACTGCTTGAAGTGCAATAATATTAGGTCCACCTCTAAGATTCTCTAAAATTTTGATTTCTCTTTTTATCTTCTTTTTCTTTACAGGCTGTTGATAAAAAATGGGTTGATATGGGGAAAAATGTTTTGAATATCCGATTCACTTAAAATTTGCATAAAAAATTATTCTTCTTGATAAATATTTCTTTAACAAGCAACATAATATTCCAAGCAATAAGTTATAAGAATGATAAAGTTTAGTTATGCCTAGTATAGGAAAGGAACAGAAAATTCAAAAGGGATTAATCTTTTCTGAGACAGAAGTAAAAATTATAAGAAACAAGAATGTACAAAAGTTTGAAATAAAAATATTAGCTACTTCTACATCATGCCATACAAATGCATGGACTCAATAAAATCTTTTGTTACAAAAACAAGTGGAACTTGGTTTGCAAAGAGCTACTATGGGGTTTAAAAAAAAAAAAAAAAAGGAAGGAAGGAAAAATCTACTGGACAAAGGACAGAAGCATAAAATCCATTATTTATACAAATTTTTAAAAAATCAATTAAATTCTAAAATCTTAATCTGAATGTTATTTTCTTACTAGCCTAATAAACTTAACAGAAAAAAATTCAATGAAATATCACATCAGTATGAATGTGAATTTTATTACGCTTTTTACAAGATTTTTTTTGGGAGGGGATTACGTAATTGAACATGTTACTGTAAAAATAATAAAACATTTACTTTCAAAATACATTACAAATTTAACAGCTCCCACATGTGCAACTGACATTTTTTCTAGCCCCTTCTCTTTAAGGAAATAACATTGATGCATTTATGGGGATTCTAAAGGGGATAAACTTAACTAACAGCAATTTAACTTATTTGAATATAGCAGTTTTAAAATTTTCACAATATAATGTAAAATAATTTCACTAAAAAATTACATATAATTAAACTGTTACAATTGATTAGATATTTAAAAATTATAAAAATAAAATAAGTTACATTATGCTATTACAGTAGTTCTGAAATATTTACATTTTTAAAATAATATAAATATTGATTAATATGAAATAAATAATATAATTATTTAATATGAAATAAATAATAATTATAAGAATTTCCCCCCTATTTGTTATGGCCAGTTTTTTTCCAGTATAGAAGTTTTCTAATGCTGCCGAGAATACACCATTTGAAAAATCTTCCTTTCCAGTGATGCTATGCGATACAGTACAAAGTCTGAGATCCGGCCTCGTCGGGAATTTGACGATTCCGGATTTGGGATTTTTCCAGATATTGGATCATCAATTTAAATCTAGTAAGATGGCATGCAGAAATTATACAACTAAAAATATGAAATCGTGATTTATGAAATACAGAGCATTTATGTTCTAAAGGGTATGGAAATTTACACACAAAAAGGCTTAATATTTATTTTACTTTATTAACCATGTCTTTCAATGTAAGTTGTTTAAATAGCTTCGTCTTTTTGTGCTACTCTTCTTTAATTCTATAAACAAACAATTTCTTTTTCAGTTATAAAGTTCCACTGTTCACGTCCTGTAATTACTGTGTCGAGAATTCCGACTAACTTGTCAATCGAAATTTTTTTGTTTTCAATAAACTTTCAATAAACTCACTTTCTTCACTATCGTTAGCGGTATTTTCTGGATCTAGAATCACAATGCAATGAAAGACTTCTGCTATACCATCCTTATTTACCGTATTTTTCGCCGTATAAGACGCACCGGCATATAAGACGCACCCAATTTTAAAGGAGGCAAATCTAGAAAAAAAAGATTATGAACCAAATTCTGTAGTAAAATATTTTATATCAACTGTATAAAGTTAACAGCAGTTTAAGAAAAATTTTATGTCAACCATGTAACATACTAAGAGCTATCTTTAATCTCTTCATAAATCTATAGCACCACGATGGTGATCCGGTGAAATCCTGAATGCCTTTCTCCACAGCTATGCGCTTGGCCTCATAGATTATCATCTTTGTTGAGACAGAAAGTCCATTTTGCCTGTGACGTGTGATCCACCCCTTTACTTCTACCGCTAACTCTGGCCACTTTGCAGTTGGTCCACGCAAGGTGTGCTTGCTTTTATCCAACTTTTGGAGCTGATCCTCCTGTTTCCTCCACTCTCTTATCATTTTCTCAGTTGGAGGTGGCCCAAAGTGTCTCTCCGCTGCTCTGTTTCCATGCTCCTTAGCAAATTTTATTACTTCCAGCTTGAAAGCAACTTTATATGCGAGTCTCTTCTGCTTCGACATCTTGATGGGGTGGTATGAAATATGATATATTTCATTCAGATATACCATACTACATATATCACAGCTCACAGCTATCCGCGCCTCCGCTTGCTCCCGCACTGCGATTGGCTGAGCGAAGAGACGCGTGCCTTCACCCACTCCCGCGCTGGCTTATGAGACTCTAAAAAGTGCACAAAGCCAGCGCGGGAGCGAGCGAAGGCACGCGCCTCTTCGCTCAGCCAATCGCAGCGTGAGGCAGAGACCATCCAAAAACAGTGCGAGGCTTCCTGGTCTCAGACAGCGCCAAGAGGTGGAAGGGAACGGAGTGTATTCCTGCGGTAAGGTATGTATGCAGAGGTGGAGGGGCAGCGGAGGGCCATGGTGGGCTTTTGTATTTGCCGTATAAGACGCAGGCACTTTCCCCCCTGATTTTGGGGAGAAAAAGTGCGTCTTATATGGCGAAAAATACGGTAATTACTGCATCTCCACATTTCTTTACAAAATCCAATAACTAGAAAATTTCACCTTTAGTTTGTGATATTTGAAAAACCTTCAAATTTGCGGCTTTCATCTTCTTCATCCTTACCATGAAATATGGTAGCTGTCCATAAATTATGAAAAGCAACCTTTAAAGTATCTGGAGACACATCTATCATAAATATGCGATGCTCTACACAGCAGACATTTTGCTAAAATATTTCAAAAATTCTTGCCATGGTTCAAGAAATTTAACATGGACTTTAAAAATGCTACTTTATATTTGGATTTCAACGCATGCACTATTCCAATATACATAGGTTGAATGACGGGCGTAAAATTTGGAGGAAAGAATTAATAGGGATACATTAACTTTCACTAAAACTTTAAGTGAAGTATGAGCCAAACAGTTGTCTACAGTCAGGACTATTTTTGAGTCATCAGGTAAACTAACCGAATTCAAATGTTGCCAAGCCTTGTTTATAAAATGATTTTCAAACCAATCATTTCATTAACGCTTGTGTCACCATGCTGTTTTATTTGCACGATATAACGGGAAAAATCATTACTCCTTTAAATGTTCGAGGTCATGTATGTTTTCCAATAACGTAAAGTTTGCACGTGTGCATTCCTGCAGCATGTGTGCACACTAAAATGGTTAGTCTCGCTTTGGAATCTATGACACCAGTTATGGCCTTTTCTGTAGAGTGAAGGTATTTCGCGGTCCATATTCCCAGAAAAGACCAGTTTCATCAGTGTTGTAAATTTGTTCTGAAGATAATTGTTCACTTGTAATGGGTTCAAAGAATTCATCTGCAAATAGTTCAGCAGCTTCAGTATCAGCTGAGGCTTTTTCACCTGAAATTTTTAATTGCCTTATACTATGACAATTTTTAAATTTGATTAACCAACCTTTTAAATATGTGCACTCAGTTTTAAGTTAATTTCTTCAGGAAATATTTTGGCTTTGAGCCATTAGCATTGGACTTGCAATGACATGCCGTTGCTGCGATGCTGTCTGACCCATTCAAATCATCACTTTGTCATGATCGTCACTTTTAGCATAACCAACAATTTTCAGTTATTCATTGCGAGTGGGGTGTCAGAAACCTAAAAAAATTCAAAAAGTTCATTTTTCTTTTTTCTGATGTCATATGCAGTTGACTTTGCAATGCCATACTCCTCGCTTTTGAGATGGATATGCCTTTATCAATTTTTTGCAGCAATTCCACTTTTTGTTTAATGGACATCGAAACAAGCTTTCGCCTTTATAGATCCTTTGGCAGCTCCAGAATTGGAAACTCTTTTCAACATAATCGAAAATTTAAGCTTAGTTTTTATAAGATTGCCGTAATAATAACAGTCTGCAAAAATTAATAAGCTGGATCAAACTAAAAGATCAGGGACAGCACAGTCCACTTCATTAACTGAAATGCCTTAGAATCAGTAAAGATAATTTGAGCCTAACTTAATAGTGTCTGTTATACATTATTGGCTGTGTATCACAAGATTGGCGATGAAATAAAAGTTGTTCCACTAAATTTTGTGTTGCTTCTATAGCATACTGAATTGTATTAATTTGTAATTAAGATTTGCATTATCTCTTATTCAGGCGATAATAATTGTATCGCCTGAATTGTATTAATTTACTTTATTTCTTATACCTATGTCTATTTCTTGCACATGCTTGAGACTAATCCGAGTTCAAAATAAATAAACTCCCATATATACTTAAGGCTTATCTAGGGCAGGCGCTCGATACTGCCTGATGCAGTCTCTGCGAGTCCTAAATCCTGCTACAAAGTGCCTTCCTAAATTCTAAATTTTCGCCACCTCTAAATTAGGATCCCATTGCTTTCCCTAAATTATAAAAAAATCGCCATCCCTTAATATTTCAACTCAGTGCTTCTGCAAATTCCAAAAATGTTCTTCCCAAATTTTGCCATCTGATGTGGCCATACAGCTACGGTTCTGGGTTTATGTGAATAACAAATCAGTTATTCTTTATTTAAATAGTAGTAAATGTAATCTTTTGGCCTAAAAGTTTCATTAACAAAATCTATTTTTAGCATATGAAAAGAAATTTTTGTTAGAATTTTCCTCCTCAACATTTCTTAGTGCATTTAACTTAAATCTATAATCGCCAAGCATAATACTAACATAAAAGGTTGCGGTACTCGTTATTCAATTACTAATATAACAAAAAAATTGTTTAGACATCAACTTGAGTCATTACTCAAGTTGTCCTGTGTTTATAAACATGTGGTGATGAAAGCAAAATAGTATAATAAGTAAGGATCTGCCAAGCAGGCATCAGGGATATAAAATATTAGTAGGTGTAAAATCAACGATGTTTCTATTTAGA